GTGAGTTTTAAGCCACCGGGTCCGGGACGCAAACCGTGGTCGACTACGTGGGAGTTCAGCGACATAGCCATTACGCTAACTGCTGGTTCCCACCAGGATTTTTTTTTTTTTTTTGGTCAGTGATAGGGTCTCTTTTTCTTTAGGCATTACTGAAGTTAGCCCTAGATCAATCTAGGAAGCAGGGTCTTTCGAGTAGGGAGCCTGAAGAAAGGGAGGGGCTGCGGTGGTGGGGCGGTAACAAAACCCTCTGCCACACGGGACCCACATGAGAAGGTCCTGCATTTGCATTCCGAGGCCTCGCTGTGCACGCTGGTGTGTACATGCCTGCTGAAGCTGGGGGTGGAGGCGTGAAGACCCTGTTGGGAGTCTGTCTGTCTGTCTGTCTGTCTGTCTCTGAAGAAAGAAAGAAAGAAACTTACAAAGAGTAAAGAGGCCAGCAGGCGCTGCAGTGGCTAAGGCGGCTGGCCACATCTGTGCAGTCCGTCTCGCCGGGTGAGTGCGCGCCCAAGATCCCGAGAGAGAGTGGAGAGGAAGGGGTGACAGCCCCGTCATCCCCTTGAGGGCGCTTTCTCACTTCCCCTCTCCCGCTGTCTCCCGCTGGTGAGAGTACATGCTCTATAGCAAAAATAAACAAATAAATGAATAAATAGAGAGAAAGAAGAAAGAAAGAGAAGAAAGAAAGAGAAGAAAGAAAGAAAGAAAGAAAGAAAGAAAGAAAGAAAGAAAGAAAGAAAGGAAGGAAGGAAGGAAGGAAGGAAGGAAGGAAGGAAGGAAGGAAGAAAGAAAGAAAAGGGAAGGGGAACACTTTGTAGTGTGGTGAGCATAGGGTGCCCATTTGCTCCCACTTTGTTCTCTGTCCTGACTGAGATGTCCAGAGTGCCTTGAGCCCTGTGTTCAGACCAGCTGCAACGTTTGCCCTGCAGGTGTGAACCCAGGCTGGGTCTTGAACACCCCAGGCACTAATAACTAGAAACACATTTGTTAGGTTGCTGCCTGAAAAATTGACCATGTTGCTAAACACGCAGAAGCTAGCCTCACCCTCCAGTGTTTCCTTCGACCCCTGTAAGACCCGGCCTATACCCCAATCTCCTCCGTGAGGACCTGCGTCAGTCCCTGTGAGGACACACCACAGGACCCGTGGCACAGAAGTCCACCTGATTCCTTTGCAATGATCATCCCGGCGTTTAGTGCTTCTTTTTTTTTTTCCTTTCCTTTTTTTTTTAAATTAATTTTCAAAATGCAAGTGTGTTGGCCAGTGAGAGACAGAAAGAAAGTGAGAAAGCACCCGCAAGGGGAATAGCCATGCCACAATCCCTTTCCCTCCACTCTCCTTTCGTGATTTTGGGTGTGCACACACGTGTGCCTGCTCTGTTTCTCAAGTCCCCAGGTCTGGGACTTGAACCACGCAGTTAGCCGTGTGGATCTAGTGCCTCCACCACCATGCTGCAGGATGGCCCTGTGTTCGTTCCTTGGAATCCCAGCCGGCCCCATCTCAGGATGGTTTGAGGCACTTCCTTGTGGGAACTACCCTGCCTTTACTCTGGGAACGGCTCTAGCCATGGGTTCAGCTGGGATGAAACAGCGGGGTTCCCTGGATGGGCTTGGTGGTGCTGCGTTTGGCCACCACCTGCCCATTCACTACTGCCCGGTATTTCTGGAGCACCTACTCCGGGCCTGCTCGAGGATGCAGTGGCGAGCGTAGCAGGCAGGGCCTTGGCCCTCCTAGGGATGTGCATGTCATAGGGAGACAGGCTACGACAGGTGTCGGAGAGATAAGTAAATGTCTCCAGCCTTGGTAAGTGCTATGGAAGGGATCGATCCAGGTGCTGGAACAGAGAAGCCAGTAGGAGAAGAGGGACATGTATTTTAGACGAGGTGCTTGGGGAAGGTCTCTTTGAAGTGATTGCTCTTTTTTCAAAAAGAAAAAGAAAAAGAATTATTTTTATTTTATTTAACTTTATTTTTAATTTGGTCAGAGACGGAGAGAGAGAGACAGAGACAGAGACAGAGACCAGATCTAGGACTCAACCTGCAGTCGGCCATATGGGAGTCCAGTGCCCTTAACTACCATGCTATCTGCCGGCTCCTGAAGTGATTGTTCTTAGGCTGAAATTTGAAGAATGAGAAGAAACCAGCAAGGATAAACGGAACACGGAATTTTTCTCTTTTTTCAGAGGTTTTTGCCATAGGGCATGTGTACTCTCCAGAGAGAGAAATCACCCCCCGGCAGCTGCGTGTGCGTGTGCGTGTGCGTGTGTGTGTATGGTCACACTGCAATTTCTTCTTCTCCACTCTCCTCCTGGGATCTTGGGCACACACACACACATGCGCCGGGTGTGATTTTGAAGACACTGGGTCCAGGACTTGAACCGCAGTTGGCCATGTGGGCATTTTGTGTGTAGCCACTTTGCCGTCTGCTGGAATTTTATTTTTTAAGATATCTTTCTTCCGGGCCAGCCCCATGGTGGTTGAGGTGGCTGGAGACAACATGGCTGACTGCACGGTTTGAATCCCAGTCCCGGCGACTTGGAAAACCCCAAATCCCAACAGATTAGAGAAATGGAGCAGAAAGGATTGTGGCACGGCCGTGTCCCATGGGGGGTGCTTTCTCCCTTTCTCTCTCTCTCTCTCTCTCTCTGGCAAGTGCACAGACCCTCTGGTAAAATTTTTAAAACATTTATTTCCTTCTTCTATGAGCAAGAGAGACAGAGACAGGCATCCCCAACAGGGGCTTTAGGCCACAATCCACCTCAGCTCCAGCCAGGCCTGGATCACGTGTTCGGGGAGGTCTCTGGACAAGGACCAGAGACTTTCAGCAAGTCAGCCTCATGGTGTCTCTACCGTTGTGCCACTGTCTAGCCCTGGGCCAGGAAGTTTTCTCTGGGGGTGGAAACAGTACGTGCCGAGGCTACCAGAAAGAAAAACACGGTGCCCCGGGACATAGGAACACCGAGTCTGCTGCCCCCACACTCACTCAGCAGTCAGCACCGCCGGGCCTGCCACCTGCGCTGGGCGGCGTTGGTCCCCACCCATACGC